GTGCAGCTCTCCTGGACTGAAGCTGTGAGCACAACTGTGGCGTCGCGCATGCGTCTGTTTCCTGACACAATCATCCATTTTGAATGCGTGTGTGTTGGGATAGACGCGTGCTGACGCTTATGTATGGGCACACCTTAAGTTCAGAGGAGCCAATCAGCGCATCGTTATCGCCGACATGCCCTGCTCAGCCAGGGTCTCCAGTTAGTCAAACATTATCCAACACACAGTCGCGCTGCTGCGGTCCTCTGCAATACATCTGTTAGTGCACGCAAAGAATAAAACGGATAATTTTAACAAGCGATCGCGGTAATGCGCAGATTATAGTCCACAAATATAAAATGTATAACGTAAAAATCACTTTATAATTTAATATTTTATACAATTTGCCGAGGGTCCGGACAGAGGAGGTCCGGACAGAGGAGGTCGGCGGTCCGGTCGTGGATCGCGGTCCGCCAGTTGAGGAAGGCTGGATTAGACGCTCCTTGTGTTTATTATTATATTTCGAAAACGCCACAGTTTTCATGCAGCTCATACCATATTATTTTGTTGTATTATTTCCGCCACACCTTAAATGCCGGTCCCTGAAAATATTGTCTGACATAAACCGGTCCGTGGGGCAAAAAAGGTTGGGGGCCCCTGGATTAACACACTTATTGTACTTCAATTTACAATTCATTTATTGTATTCAATTGATTTTTGAGATATTGCAAGATTCATTTTGTCAAATGTTTATTCAATATCAATGAAATACTATGGCCATCAGTAACACATACGTGTACACAATACTTCAGTCCTGGCTATATAGCATGGGCCACAACTAAACCTGACACTGGTAACTTGATTATGTGTGTGTACTATTTATGTAAATAAACATCATATCAATGGCTACTCACCCCCTTTACTAATACAAACGCAAGTAATAGGAATTGCATGATTGAAATCATGTGATGAATCTTAAAAAAAAATTGACCTTATTACTATATATAGACTTATCGTATTGATGTGGCTTGACGTCCTCCTCCCAAGACGATGCATGTGTAATCTGCTATCAATTTGACTAAAGAATCTACCACACGTTATCATTAGTTCTACCGACAGTTAACATTAGCATTACTACACCATGTGACGAAGGTTTTATTCATAAATTTACCGTGTCTACAACCAGTAAATTATAGAATAACCAAGACTGTTTCATAATATTTTTCATAGCGATTAGCCTTTAGATCTAATGACCAACTTCAATACCTGCCTCCCGTCGTATCTCTCTCTCGTGTTGTGTGCATACATCACAGGTGAGTTTAGTGATACGCCCTTTGGACGATCCATACGAAAATCTGACTGGCATTCCCATTTCTTAAATGTCATAATTAGTAGACCTTTGTGTGTTTTTTTGCCGCCATCTCAAACTGTCATCTGCGCACTTTCTCAGTTTGCGAACTAAAATAGCAACCCGCATGCGCACATAACGTTATCTCTTCCGCCCCCCCCCACCACTGAAAAAACCAAAACAAAAGTAAATTAGAAGAAACACACTTACACACCACACCACAAACACACGTACAGGCACAGTGAAATCACGTTGATCACACAGGAGAGATTCGATCGCATACAGTCAACTCGTGTGCGGTGACTCTTATGGGAAACAATTTTTCGGTACCGTCAAAAGACGCCACGGAAACGACACGCTACCGGTAACGATCGTTACCGTGAAATCCTCAGTCCTGTATTTTGTGCAGACAAGGTGTAATACAGTTACAGTTAGGGCTGATCCTGGTACTCGTTTTAGATAAGTATCCGTTACGGATAGTGACATTTTTGATGAGTATGAGCTGTCATCTGTACTCGTGCTGAAGCAAAATCGTGATTGGGTAACTACTGATCGATTCACTCTTCACGCTCGGTGATTGGCCAGTCACACACACAGCAACCGCCTGGCCAGTCACACACACAACAACCGCCCCTCCCTAACCGTGCCTCACTCGTACACATGCACACAGACACAGTGACTGATGATCTTTCTGTGCTTGCTTGGCTTGACTCCAGCTTGAGTCAGTGAGTCACTTAGTTTTCCTTCAGCTGGTAAACTTTGTTCATAATGTAGGCGGCGCATTTAACAAGACAGAGCTGTAAATGACTCGTGTTGCCTCGGTCACTCCCTGTGTGTGCTTCATCTTCTTGCTTCTAATGTGGCCAGTGATATGAAGTCAGTTGGAAAAAGAAATACAGTGAACAAGGCAGACAGATTGCTCTGCCCACTCGGAGTACCGATACGGGTACAGATAATTTAGATGGGTGAACAGCTAGAAATAGCGCTGTATTCTTATCGTTTGTTGCTTGTAGTTGTTAAATTATTCTTAGATTAGATCATGAATTGTTATCCCTTGGTGACACTCCTGGTAACAAAGAACGTGCAGTCAGTGTTACACATAATATAATGGCGTGCATGTGCGTGTTAGTATATTTGTACAACAAGGTGAAAGGTGGATTCACGTATCGTGGAGTAGTGGCCCTGAGCACCGCACAGTGTACAGTAGCTCCGCCCAGTGGGAAATCTCCAGAATGTAAAGATTAATCACTCCGGGCCTGGTCACATACATATGTACATAATTCTAAAGACTATGGTTATTTTTTTCCAACTGTTTGTTTTGTAAATGTGTTATTCTGTTGTTGGTTTCAAGGTCTGGGTAGTACAGTGTTGGTGTACAACTATACCTGAGTGCTCTGTGTGGGAATCTGCAGCAGTAGTGCCAGGGTGTTGTGATCGAAGGTTTCATCCAGGGAGAGCAGTGCACCATGGACACCACTCTCATAGAGGTTGGCACTGTACTCTTTCAGCCCAATAGCCTGAACCCAATTAATCAAACGCTCATTGCTCCACACCAGCACATCTGAAATCGGAAATTGGCAACTTACTATGTATGCACTTTTTGCACAATTCTGTCACCATGGTGACTTTCAAATGCATACTTATTTATGACTGCTTTTGTTACCATTAAATTCCAGCTGAGACTCTTCCCTTCTCCTCTCCAATTCTTTCCGGTCATAGTTGAGCCTCCTTAAACACATTACTCCACACTGAAAACTGTTCCTATTGAATAGAAATTGACCGTTGTTGATGAGTTATTTGCAGCAATTTGCTTTACCGAAGAGTATAGCATGCCGTATTATGATTAGAAAACGGACAGACTGCTCCTCTCCATTGTGTATTACCTGTGGAAGCTGTCAACCATTTTCAGCTGTCCGCGAAGGTCTTTCTTGGTAAGGTGATCAAGCATGCGGGCGTCTACCAGAGACTCCATGAAATACGAGCGGTACTGTGGCAGACCCAAGCTGGGAAGCCACTCATTACCAATCCATTCATGATTCATATCTCCGTACGCCAGTGTCTAGGGGGGAAGAAATTATATATATATATATATATATATATGAAAATATTCTTAGACAATCATCAGGAAACATAAAAATTAAGAAACACTACAAACACACAATTATATAATAGGATCATTTTGTAGGATATAGTGGCATCACTGACTTATTTAAAAAAATAGTTAAAATGTATTACATGATTTTTTTTTTTTTTTTTTAAACGGACGGTAAGGTAACTACGAGCCAACCGATATGGGTTTTTTGAGAATGCCGAATTTTTGGCAGAAAGACCCAACACGCACATGCGCACACACACAACCCATCTCCTCTTTTGCGTTTAAAAATTCTAAATTGAAAAATGGAAAACAAGCCTTCATCTGATTTTCTATTATGTGTTCATCAAATAAGTCAGGAAAAAAAAATACACCCGTTTTTGTTTGTTTCCCTTGACCCAGAAGACGTTCTTCTGCTACAACCTTTGTCGTTCTCTTTGCATGGATGGAAGAGAATTATTTGATTATTTTTAGAACAGGCCCGCGGGCTACACATGTAGTCCATGGGGGCTACCTGGTGCCTGCGAGTATTACGTGAGAGACTCTTGGTTGAGTGTCTTGAGTATTGCAATTTTGGTTTTGATATTACATCGTTCCAGACTTAGTTGTTGAGCATAAGATAAGTGAAAGGGTGACATGCATACAGTATGTTCAAACCTGGGCCCAGCTACTTTCGTCGTCCTCCTGGTGTTAGCATGGTTAGTGAGCATGGCGACGAGAAAAGAAAGGCTGGGTTAGTGAGACTGCAGCGCTGGGTTAGAAGGGCTGGAAGTCAAGTTTTAATGTAATAATCAAAGTCAAGGAAGATGACAAAACTCATTCTGAGCAGAGACACACATTACACCACAATCCGAAAAGTCAGCATAAATCCATTCCAAGCAAGCTTAGACAAGACATCTTGGATAAGACATTGTTCCAAGTAGCTCACAATGTTTAGTTAGTTTTTTTTTTTTTTTTTTGTCCATGTACAGTGGCTAATCACAACGAAGCCAGAACATTATCAATTTGCAAACATAGATATATGGCCAACTTTGGCCAACATGGAACAGGCCCAATAGTCACCAAAGTTGTAATAAACAAACCAGTGTTCAGCCAGTCTGGAAAAACTAACCGTGGGCGGTGTAGCTGCCAAACTTTCCATTTCTTCATGTGTGACCCAAACGTTTCCTGTGGTCTGATCATTTGACACCCCCAATCACAAGTGAGTGAAGTGTGCAGAGAAGGGACAGTGGTGCAGGACAGAAGAGAAAAAGATCAGGAAGCATTGGTTGTTACAATAAAAAGTAAATGCTTGAAATGTTAATCGGTGTGCGTACCATGCTCAGTGGGATTAAGAAATGTTAGAGAGTGTGTTATTTTTGTATGAGACAAATACCGTTCTGGAGGTGGGAGGGGCAGAAGGACTGGTGAGTGACATGATTTCCTGGATGGCAAGACGAAGTTTCAGACGATGTAATGGGTTGCTGATGCCAATCTCCCGCTGGATTTCGGTGTCAGAAAGTGCTGACATAATGGCTCCGCTCTTTACGTTTGCACGACAGGCGGCGACATACCAGGCCGGCATGCCTACCCATAGCTGGGCAAAGGATGAGAGACAGGAAAGATTCATCACATAACAAAAACAAAAAACAAACAAACAAAAAAAAAAAACAATGTTATATGATCATAATTAATTGTTCTAATATGTTTTCAGATCAATGCAGTACCTCCAGCCAAACGACAACGGTTGGTCCATCCCATTGGGCAAAAGGCAGGCCCTGCCTGCGCGCCTCATCTAAGAGTTCGTGCCTGACACAAAAAATGTTACTTAAAAAAAGATTTAATTTGAGCTAAATTGAACTAAACCCAATCTAAGCACACAAACCTATCCCAACAAAAAGACATTCAGTATCATAGCAGGCAAAAACAAAGAGAGACACGCAGTGCAAGAAAACAAGACATTCTTATCTGGAAAAACATGAAAAAACACAGATGCCTTTGAAGACCAGAAGTGTGTCAAAACCTCCAAAGCCCTTTCAAAGCCATGACTATGCAGGTTCAAACAGAAGAGCATTTAGTGAAGCATGTGAACGCTAATTGGTAGCCAAACCATTTCTCTTAAATAGAAAAGAGGCACAGCCTGTATCAAGAGAAGTATTAAGGACAGGGATACCTTTACAATCACTGTAAAATATATTACATTCAATCCATATACAGTTCTGGTTCATTATTAAGGAGCTATGTAACTAAAAGACAATCCCTGTCAAGTTTTCAGACAGCTGGAAGGCATATGTCAGGGCCCTGACAGGGAATTCATTCACTGGTGTGGAAACGCCTTGTAATCAATGCTAGATGTGTAAATGACCACCAGAAGGCGCAGTTACTCACACATGCACACGAAAGGTCAACAAAACTAGGAAAAAGATTGTTTCAATAATGGTTTTCTCCAAGACATTTTCAGGCACTGACTAATCTGCCACATGTTGGCATAGAAAAGTATTTAGTAACCATTTTCCCTCTGTGCAAAACGTCATGCTTTTGGAGCTAAATACTGGAGCCAAAATCAGCACACAGATTCACGTTAGGTAAAGAGTAGTACGGGAGGGAAAGTGATCAGACATTCAGGAGAACCGCAGCCATGAAGACCCAAGTGTGGGAAGAAAAAGCAATCGTGAATCAACTTACCCTGTCTTTGGACTACACAGAGAATGAGAAGAGGAGGATAAAAAAAAGGGGGAATTGGCAACACAAACATACAAAAAAATAATATGAACTGATACTAAATTACCTAAAGCTATAACACATTGAAATTAAATCTATGACAAAACAAAACAAAAAAAAAGTGAAAAGAAAACGTGGGGGTGGGAGGTGACTGCAATGGAAAAGCTTATGTGGAATGGAAAGAATATAATAATAATCAACTGATGATGGGAGTGAGCAGGAGGAGCCAGGTGGGCAGGCAGTGTGTGCGTACATGAAACAGCATTGGAATGTAGCAGGAGCACAAATCCAAAGGTTTTACAACGAACACTATTATGTGTGTGAAATGAGTGGAGTACAGTCTTTCAGCAATCGAGTGACACCTACTTCTTCTGTAGTTTTCTGTTCTTTTCTGCAGGGCCCCCCAGGGTGCCCATTCCTAAGCCATCCTTAGGTGAGCTCTCCGCTTCAGGAGTTCCAGCTAAGAACAAAATCACAATGTTCAATGCTGCTGAAAGACCTTCAACATTGCTTAATTCTATCCTCTAGTGTGGTTTGTTTTTCTGCAATGAAAATGTAAAATTAAAATATTTATGAACTCTGCCATCGGCTGGTGACCAGTCCAAGATGTCCCATGTCTTTTGCCCAAAGATGCAAAATGGATGGATGGACCGTGGAGGTAAATAGCCTACACACCCCTGTTCAAAAGCAAGGTTTTTGGAATAGATAAAAAGAACTGCATGTTTGAAAATATGATAAATGCAATCCAATACTGTGTTGTCACCATGGAATAAAAGGTGAGCGTGCACCACCAGCCTCTACAAGATGGGTAAACCCGGTACTCTTACTGAGGAATATTCAAGGTTTTGAAGGAATGCATACTTAATAAACTGCACTGGGATGACTTTCGGCATGTACATACATAAATTAGCTGCTTGTCTGGCCCTATTACCTGTGTGAAACACTAAAAAAGGCTGTGCCTGTCAGTCACAGCTCAAGGTTTAAGGAGGCTTATCATTATTCATTTTTGTGCTCTCAACTCAACATTATTTAGAAAGCGGTTTCATAACAATTGCCGCTGCACTCAAGAGCTGTACATAAAACAAAATGTGTTGTGCTTTGCACAGCATTTAGATTCAAATTTTGATTTTATTGACCTTTTATTTCCCTCAATAATGCCGAGTAGCTTCTCAGATCATTCTCACTCATTTGTTGGAGAAATGCTAATCTCAGATCATGACTATTGTTCAGGTGTCCTTGACCTGAGAATTGACCCCTCCCCTAAACTCCAAGAGGAGAAGCGAACCTTTCACTCCAACATCCCTCCTTGCATGCGTGCATGTCTGTTCCCTGGTTCTTTGTGTAATGTACAAAATAAATTCACAGTAGTGTGCAGCTGTATTTCCTCCTGAGAGATTATAATGAGTATGTATTGAGTGCTTGAGACGCACTACCAAATGATCTGCACGTCATGTGCTGTACAGAACGAGCACTGTTCACGTCTGGTTTATATACTCCAAAATAATATGACGGCCAATATTTTATGGGGGGAAAAAACTGCTGCGATATAAACCAAAGCAGGAATTTTAACACTGTGATCCGCACTACTCCCTCACCTTGACTGGGAGAGTCCTTTCCAGGAATGCTAGGTCGGCCCTTCTCCTTCTTCCCAAAAAGGCGTCCAATGGAAGACTTAATGCTCTTCTTCTTGGCTGCCTTGTTGAGAGAGTCCTGGCTGCTGTTACTGCTGCTGGGGTTGCTACCCTGCCCATCTTGCACGCCAAGACTGGAAATGAAATTTAAAAAAAAAATGTTACCAAGCATTCAGGGATCAATGCCACAAGATTTCCTCCTTTCATGTCAAACTACATGTATAAAATATGTTTTAAGTGACAAGGAGAAAGCTGACCCTCGAATGTCTCTTATGTCCTCGTGGCTGGCAGCATGACCTGCTTCCCTGTTGAGGCGCATAGAGCGTGGAGTGGTGGGGGGTGATGTCTCACACTGGATAGTGGTTTTGTCGTCCTGAGCAGGCTGTATAAACAGCAGAAGAAATGAATGAGATCCAGCACTCAAATTTCACCGTTCCGGCCAGAAGTAAAATTAAAGGATTCGCACTGAGGCTGTGAAACAGAATGTCATACAAAATCATAACCTTTACCCCAACACTTAAAAGTTGAATAAAATATATGTTGCATTTTCCTTTGACATTTCTACTCCATTCAGACAAAAAAAGACTCATGGTAGACAACGATTACACTCGTGAATTACCTCTAAACAAGAGAAGTGACTACAGTATTTTCTTGATAACAGTTGTGTTTGGTCAACCTACTGGATCACAAATTCGTACAGTGGACCTCCACTATTTGCAGGGAATAGGGACCGAGTGAGATCACAAATAAATATGTCGAAGTGACGCTTGCCGAAAAGTGATTGCACAGACCAGTGTTTTTCAACCAGTGTGCCGCGGGAAAATATCCAATTTGTATGCCTGTGCGGTCTTTCGCCCAGAAAGTAATCATGTAGTACCCTCCCATACCGCTAGGGAGCAGCAACAGCTAGCCAATTGCCTTGTGTTTCGACGAGAGACAAGTGAATTTGTGACGCATGAATGCAGGACGACGGTGAAACAATAAATATGAAAGATGATAAAATACAGTTTTCTTTGTGTTCATTTGATTCAAATTCAAGCTGTTATAATGTCATTCTTCAATGTTAAAACGGTTATAGTAACAATATAACATGTTAATTGTTAAAATAAGCGGGGGTTCACATTTTCAGCTAGTGGTGTGCCGCAAGATTTTTTTTCAATGAAAGAAGTGTGCCTTGGCTCAAAAAAGTTTGAAAAACACTGGCATAGACTATATTAATTAAAAAAAAAAAATCTAAAAGAAACTGTTCCCAAAACCTTTTTCTAAACACATAAACCAAAAATTCCGATGATGATGATGAAGAATTACTGTGTAGGGCTGTCCGGTGTAAAACAACATTTGACTGCAAAACAGAGTGTAGGCGTTAACATCGATGGTGCAGATGCTCCTGGGGTGGGAAACACTCCTGCTTCATAGGTTGAGATTGCAAAGAATGGCTCGGGGTCTCACAAAGTGGCTGTTATAGAAAGGTATTTATCGCAGCTTTACTAAGCTGTTGTTACAGATTGCCACTGGTTTTGATGCCATGTTTAGTCCTAGTTTGGCAAAATTATTATGTATCAAATCATCTGCAGCAGACACCTCTCTCTACTTGAAGCCTCTCGCGTAACACAACTCATTCGATTTTTTTTTTTTTTTTTTTTTTTTTTTAGATTAGATGAGCAAGTCGGGGGCTGGGACTTCGGACTGAGCGTGGGTATTGGCAAAATTCCCACCTTGTGGCCCTCCACTGCAAAAAGTTTCGTTGAAAGCCAACATTAACCATTTGTTGTCTCAATTAATGAAATGCTACGGGACAAAAATCACCATTTCGTGATTCCCCCACCTTCTGCAAAGAAGAAAATCCGAAACAAAAAACTAGCAGGGGTCCACTGTACATCACTGCAGAGGAATGGAAGAAACTAAAGCTAAACATGTTTGGTTCCAGAGGGGAGTGAACCAGTGCAGTGGGCTTATAGTTTACCTTCCTGCGGTGCTTGCGCAGGTCACTAGGCTGAAGCATGGTAAAAAAAAAAGAAAAAAGAAAAGACAGGAGAAAAGCAGTTAGTGAGAAGCAAGACAGAACACCAGTGGAATCAAAGCCATGCGCAAACACTCCAAGCGTAACACACGAGTGGTTACTGTTTGTGTTGAATAACCAAACAACGCCAAGAGGACAGTCAATGACTGATATTATGAATAGAATAGTAAAATCACATGTTCTTGAAGCGGTCAGGCACACAAAACCAGTGAGTAAAGAATGATAACACAACAAACAACCAAGCTGGAAGTTGCAGAAAGTCAGAGCATTTGGATAGGTGCAGCCAAGCTCAAAAAACCCTTCTGAGCAGGCAAGCAAATGTTTGGGTGGGTCAAAAAAAAAACCAACAACAAAAAAAAAACACGGTTAGCTAGCTGGCTGGCTTGCTGCTATACGTGTCACTGCACCACATGGTCAAAGTCTTATTACATATGTATAGGCCAGAGCAGTCGAGTCTTTTTTCCATTATCCGCCTTGAAAGTAGGCTGCACGCTCCCCCCTCCCTCCCGCATTCCATAGAGGCCTGGCATGAGCAAAGCAAATAGACCATCAGCCTGCCACATTTCTGTGGAAGTTTGTTTTGCCCCAAGAGCAAAATACAGAATCATTCATTTCCTTCTCTCTACTCGACACTGTGAGGTCAGGGCATGGAAGAGATTAGTGAGCTATAAAAGGGAAACAGGAAGCGGAAATTGAGGGGTGAGCAGAAAAGTAAATCTAATCAGCCAAAATGTTACTTTCTATGATGTCCCTTGTTTTAGATAAAGGGTATTCAAAACAGCTTCAGTGGTGAGTTAACTGTACCGAAATGACAATCGCTCCGTGTAACAGCGCTGGCAATTATTCCTGAGGTATTTCAAAAGCAACTTAACTACAAAAAACACACCTCGTCTTTTTTTCCTCTATGTATTTACAAATTCAATTCCAAGGAGTTGAGACATTTCGTTGAACATCAATAAAAAATGATTTGCAAATGATATTCTTTTATCCACCCATCCGTTCGCAAGTAGCTTCATTCACAAGCAAAGATGGGGCGAGGTTCACCTCTTTGTAAACAACTCCTGAGAAAATAGTCAAACAGTTTCAGGGCAAAGTTCCTCAACCTACAATTGCAAAGAATTTCAGGATCCCATCATAAACGGGCCATAATATACAACAAGCAAGAATGGGAGAAACTTCCACCTATAAAGCTTCAACAATTAGTGAATGTTTTTAAAAGGCGATGTAACAGATGATCCTCTCCCAGTTTTTTGGAACATGTTGCAAGTTTATCAGTTTGAACATTTCATCTATTTTCTTTGTAGTGTATTTAATTAATTATAGATTGAACATGAATCATTGCATTGTTTTTATTCGTACTCAACACAATGCCGCAATTCCATTGGAAGTGGGTCTGTATAATTTTCTTCCCTCTAAGTAATGAACTGAAAGAGAAAAAAAGGAACCCCAAAACTGACTTAAGACTCAAGAGTGACTTTTTTCAGCTTTTATAGTCTTGTGCAATTATTTAAATTTATGTGTGGATTAGGCTTTCCCATTATCTTTTACACTGCCCATAAATTCCAGCATTTTCTTATGCCTTTTTTTGCCGCATCGCTGTTTGCTGTAAACAACACTGGCGACATGGTGGGGTGAAATCGAGCTGGCAATTGTCCGCCTTGGGAAGTAATCTCGGATGCGCTACGATGCCTGTAATGACACGGCATGGATGTTCACTTTACATCCAACTAACTTCTCCTGCTGTGCTGTACTGAAAGCAACTGCTGCTGTCCCAACACTGCCTTCTGTGTCAAACAAGAAGCACACACTAACATCACGTTTAATTATCTGATTGCAGGATGCCATGTTGCTGTGTCAAAACACACAGGAGCAATATTCTGCACTGATGAGTGGGGAAAAAAAAAGCAAAAGTAGGTAATTATGACTCTTATACATCAATTTTTTTCTAGATATTTAAATAAAGTAATGGTATGCATAAAAAAAACAACAAAATTCAAAAGAAGAAAAGTAACAAAAATACATTTAGGTCTTAATTTGTTAATTCATCAGGAAAAGAAGAGGAAACAATTGGTAGCCCTCAAGTCATATGAGGACTCCACAACTCTTGCAGCTTATTGATTCCTGAAAAATCTGACTACCACAACCAAACTGGAAACCAATACGGCAGACCCCAATTAAAAAAAAAAAAAGAAAACAACTCGTTGGACTATAGCCAGACTGCACCTGTCATAGAGTGGAAGTAAGGAAATGTAAAGAGATTTGCAAGTACCTGAAAATATGGTACATAGCTACAGACTTGAGTATGTGGAATGAAGTCAGGTGCTCCAAAAGGTAGGTAAGTTACTGTTGGCTCAGAGAGGGAGCTCTGGATGACGTAGGGATCAACGCAATAATGCTATAGTTTGGGGGGGCAGTCACATGTAGACATGGTTATACGCTTGCATACACACAACAAGTAAGTGCACTTGTAGGAGTAATGAAGGGACACCTTGGAACAGTACAACAAAAAGATTGACAATACTAAACAGATAAATGAAGCTTTGCACGCACACATATAATAAAGAAACCATGAGCAATCTGGCAAGACTGTTTAAACTGGCTTCAAATTGAACTTTGTAGATGCCATTTCAAATTAGCACATTTAAAACAAGAAATAAATGAATGATGAAAATAACACAATGGTCGCTATTCAGTCATCGATCACATTTTGCACAAAATTGACAACAATGAACAAATTCTGCCAGGTTATATATACTGTTGAAACCTACGATGACCACAACCTATATACACATACAGTACATATAAGCGCACATAAATAAGAGTTGGACAGACTTGCTGAGTCGACTTTACTCCACAATTACATTGACAGTAGACGTCGTTTTAATCACGTTTTTAACTTAAAGAGGAGGCAGTGTCACTTTCAGCAACAGCTGCGTGTGCTGAATGAACTCAGTCAGTCATCTTAATTGATTTCAATGATTTTCTATTCCTGAATGTGCAGCTTTGGTAAGTGAGGAAGAGACAATGAAGTGGGGAAAAAAAAGCTCAGCTCCAGCATGATTTCTAACAATTTTTCCTCCCTTCTCAAGGTCGTTTTAGTCAGTGTCACATTCTGATTGACGGACAAGCCCAAATAGGGCAGCAAAAGCAAGCAGACTAGTAGATAAGCAGAGATGCTTAGTACTGCTTGCAAGCTGTGTATTTTGGTTGTTGTAGGTTTTTTTTTTTTTTATTAAGTAGTTTGTTTCGTTTCAACAGAGTACTCTTCACTTGCTTTATCTGAAAAATCAAGCCCTATTTTTAAACTAATATGTCAACTGCGTGTTATTTGGGGATGCAACAGAATGGGGACAAACAAAAAGCACTCAAAAATACAGAAACATTCGGGTTAGGGAAAAAAAGTCGACTAACTTAGTTTCACGGACCAAAAAAATTTGTTCAATGCATGCCTCTAAATTGTTTTTAATCTTTAATTGGGGGCAGGGGGAATTCACGCAAAGGAATTGATTGACCACTTTCATGTTTGGCATTTGCAACTGTGGATGCTGTTTCCCGGCAGAGCAAGAAGAACAGCCGGGTCGCATTCAATGTTTTGAGGAGCTACAAAAGTTGCAATTAGGGGACATGAGATGAGCCCAAATGCTCATGAAGATGCCATGGGTTTGTGAAGCTCATGGTGTTGGAGCCTTGAACATGGCGTGACAGTGTGACAATAAGCCGGTGGCTGCTTGATGCTGATAGTAGAGGTAACAACACAGTTTTAAATTGGTGTTGAGTGGATTAACACTGAAAAAACGTAATTTTCGGCACGCTACATCACTACTTTATGGGGTGCAAGCGTCTTCCACTAAATTGTCATGAACACTCTGTGCGTGTTAAAGCCTCTGCAGGTAATTTCGCTTAACATAGCTTGCGGCCTGTGTCTCATCGCTAAGCAGAGATGATTTGTGAACATAAAATGACGTGATTATTGTTGGAAATTTGAGCGAAAAATAAAGAAGAGCATGCGAGTGTGACAGTCGCCTCTGGATTGTTTAATTGTATTTTATTTAAAAAATAATAATAAAAAATTAAGTCCTCATGTCCACTGCGGGCAGGCTGGAGCAGCGTTATTAGAGTGATCGATGGAATAATCAATCTCAAAAGATTTGTTTGTGGCAGCCCTAAAAGACATTTATTACATCACAAAGATTTAAAGATACTTTTGTTTCTTGTATGACAAGGTACATTATGTGCTGCTGGTATGAGGCCACACTATTTACAGAACACATGCAGCTCTGTTATGGTGATCTACTATCGGCCACATACCAGACGCAAACTGACCAAATCACAAAAGAGCATTTCAAACGTTTTACTAAAGTTGCCTTTAAAATAAATAGTTGTTGAAGCTAAAAAAAAAAAAAAAAAAAAAAAAAACAGGGTTCCGCATTATTTTCCACCGAAACCTCACAATCACAAGCGGAAGTCATTTGGGATGTGTATTGTGTCTTGAGAGCGTACGACGTATTTTTGTGAACCTCTCCACTGGAACACCGAACCCAACCAATCAGCCTCTTGAAACCTCGAAAACTTTTTACTCTTCTTCAGGTTTAAAATACACACAATGTAACTAACGGAGCCAAAGCCAAGTCATTCTTGCATTGCTGTGGTTACCTAAGAAAGCAATACCATGCACTTTGCTTGTGTACGAGTGTGTTACGTACACACACACACACGCACACTCACACACACACACACACACACACACACACAGACACACACACACAATCATTCCGGTAGTGTAGTTGGCAATAAACATTTCTTTAGAGATCCTCCAGCAACCAAAACCCTCATTGGAAAAAAATATATATTTTTGAGGAGCGCCTGAACGCATCGTCGTATTCTGGCCTCGTTTGTATGCAGTAGGTCAACACAACCCTCAAAGAAAACACCACAGTTTTCATGCAGCTCATACGATATTATTTTGTTGTATTATTTCCGCCACACCTTAAATGCCGGTCCCTGAAAATAGTGTCTGACATAAACCGGTCCGTGGGGCAAAAAAGGTTGGGGACCCCTGGTTTAGAGAATGAGTCTTATTTGAGCAAGTGGAAGATGCACCCTCCCCCAAAGTGAGACAGTGTCTACTTGAGCCCACAATTTTACGAAATACTGGTGCAGTGGCAGTTTCCTAATCAGCTGAAAAAGCTTGTTAGTTCAGCACACCATTTCACATCCTAAGCCAGTCAATCATTTTCATGTTCTTTTACTTCATCATCGATTAAAAAAAAAACGCATTTCAAGCCACCATGACAGAAGAAACAATGCGGTTTTGTTTGTTACCTGCGAAAACTTTGAGAGATAAGTTGTGAAAAAGGATCAATCCTGGTTACTGTATTTGCCAGACGCCGTGCATGGAATAAAATGATGTGCGCTGACAATATTGATAAACTCAGAATTGATAAATGTGATAAATAATGGAGGGTAATTGTGATTTTGGTTGAAACCCACAGCTGTTAAATCAGAGAGGTTCATGTGTAAATAAACAAACAAACAAACAAACAAACAAACAAACAAACAAACAAACAAACAAACAAACAAACAAACAAACAAACAAACAAACAAACAAACAAACAAACAAACAAACAAACAAACAAACAAACAAACAAACAAACAAACAAACAAACAAACAAACAAACTGTTAGAGGAATCTATGAGCAAAATTGTATCATGTTTAAAGTTTCATTTAATTTGGGCACATCTAAACGTTTTGGGTGCGTATCCAGCACCCCCAAATGCCTGTGCACAAAGGCGCCGGCCACCTGGCCGGAGGGCTGTTGAAGTCCACAATTAGCACGTCAATGCAGGTGGGCAATCACAGGGGAGGGGGCGAAACTCGGTCACAAAAGGGGAATGAATAATTTGGGAACAGCGGTTGAACAACAAAAGACGAGTTGAGAACACCCGTCGCGCCCAGGCGACATTTGTCGTCCGCAAAGTCTGCAACATGTTAATTCGATGTAGACCAGACAGAAAAGGCGCCAACGTACTGGTGGTTCAAGTTTAAAAAACAGGTAACCAATCACCACCGAGGGGCCGGACCGGGGGTGCGGTATGCAAATGTCGGGGGCAGTGTTTTCCTTGTATGTTACAATAAAAGTCGGAATTGGCGGGAAGGGAGCTGAGTGTGTGATCATCGGAGCAACTACCGTCGTTCGCTCTCAGAGATCCGCTCCCGCCGATATTGAAGACAATTTTCCTGTGTGCCGAGTCATTTCTTTAACTTTGTCCGAGAAAATCTCTGACAGAAACAAACAAACAAACAAACAAATAAAATGAAGTCTTACCAGGGTCATGACACCCATCCGGTCTAATTCTCTGTGGGGGCTGTGAGGAATACGTCTTGGTGTTGAGTGTCCAGAGCCTGGAGGAGAGCTGCCAATAGGAGAGCCTGCACACAGTGAAGGCGGCAAGGAGCTCATTGAGCGGAAACGTCCTCCAAGGCTGTCGCCGCTGCCCACTCTGCACTCAATTTCCTCAGCCCGGATGGCTGTGTTTTCCTTCTCTTCTTGAATTATTCTAAAGGAATAAAGAAGGCAATAAAATGATTGTGAATCACACTGCAGCAAAACAATTTGTGGTGGTTGTTTCTGCCTTGGATGTAGTACCTAATTTCATTGTTGATGGCATCAAGCTGCTCCTGCAGCATTAAGGCCAGAGTCTGTGCATCTGCCTGACCACTAGGGGACAGAAGGTCAACAGAGCTGAAGATCGTCTCTCGATCCTCCTCCAGGTCTGAGGCATCCATATCACTCTCAAAGGCCTGGGCCACATTAGCAAGCACATTGGCCTGTTGGACACGCTCCCATTCCTGCTCATTAAGAGTCTGCACCTGAGTTGAATAAACACAAGTATTGGAAAACAAGAATGACAGGGGAGATTAAACAGTCACCTGTGTATTTCATTCGTCATTAGTAAATAACAGCCAAATTGACGTCACTGTTTATTTTGCTCCTTCATGGTGACTTACATGACGCTGATATCCAAAGGTGGACGCAAACAGAAAGACAAAGCAGATTTTAAAAACCAACATCAACAGTTGAATGAATCACACATGATAGGAGAGACAAAGAAACAGAAGTAGGATAAAACCCAAAACTGAAAAAAAAAAAACAAAAAAAAATATCACTGTTCATAAAGTACCACTAATATTTCAGAAAAAAAAAGAGTTTTAAAGAGCCTGTAAAGTCATTTTTGTGATGGCATAGCAATGTGAAGTGTGGACTCCCAGCAATATGAACTATGCGAGCCTGGAGTAAAGAGAAGATTGATTTAATGGCCAGTGAGCTGCTTGTACATTTTTACAATGAGCTCTGCAATTTTATCCACTGGTACACATGAAATTACAAATTTGGTCATGTAACGATGTGTGTACTGCATATACTTGACAGCACCAGTCATGCATCGCAACTCTCACGAACACTGAAGTCAATTTCTCACGTGTGTCGTTGAGCAGCGGTTGCGTATGTATGTATGTATGTATGTATGTATGTATGTATGTATGTATGTATGTATGTCTGTATGTCTGTATGTCTCTGTCTCTCTCATCTACAGCAAACTTCAAAGGAGGAATGTGGTTGGTTGATTTGAGTTTTACATGCGACTCAAGCGTGCCATAGTCACATGACTATCGTCCTAATTTTGATATAAATATCACGAATGTTCATGTCTTGATGATGATATGATAACGCCAAAATGCCCATCCCTCATACTGAGTGCCGTCATTTCATCAGTAGCTATCCACCATTACTCAGTAATAACAACTTTGGCCCATTTCGTCCGCTAAAATATGAATTCCTGAAGTGTCATGTATTTTAGCGTTATTTGGGTTGCAGTGTCTCGTGGAACCACGTACGGCTCACAGAGCGAGGCAGTGGTGAATTGGTCAGCCGCAGCATCAGTCCACTAGTGGGACCTAGTGGCTACCGAGAAGGCTAGTTCGCTTGCAGACCATCGGCAAGACTGTCCAATTCGCCACTGCTGAGCTCTGTGCGTTGGTCCACGTAAGAGGCACTTCAGGGAAAGCTCACCATTTCTTAAACACAGTGGCACACATTATTCAGATTGTGGTTCACACTTCAGACATACCGTATGTGATCACAGAGCTTTGAGCACATACAGCGAGATGCGTGTGAATAGAGTGGACCGTGTTCCCAGTCTATTCAGTCTAATTTTTTCACCATTTTGAAGCCTGATTTCATATACTTGGCAAGTTAGCAGTCTTATTAACAGACTCTTCTCTTTGGTGTATCCAATTTATAAATCTACATTACTTTACAGGGTCTTTAAATGCATCTAATTTAACAAGGGGCGAATGTAACATTCAACATGTGATCCATTAATATTAAATCAATATCATGTGAGCATATGCATTTCTACACTAAAGTAATTAAATAAGACAGCTCACCTTGGATGGTTCATCTCTAAGCGCTGCTACTCTTCCTTTTTGGGGCCGCCTCAATACAAGAGCGCTCCCGTAGTGGTCTGAGTTACTGTCCATCATAGAGGAAGCAGACACTGGATACCTGAAGTCTGGGGTACTTCCCAGCTGTGATCGACTAGCAAAACGCACCGAACAAAACTATCAGGAAGAATATTATTGTGTTTGTGCAAATTTATTGTCTACTTAGACACTCCCCATATCACAGAGATCACAGATGGAGGTTAAACACAAACCACTTACCCATGTAATAATGAGTTGCTTCTGCTCCTACCCTGTTCATTCTCGGCCCTCAACGTTTCAATCTGAATCAATAGCTGCTCCTATAGGACAGGATGTTTCAATTTTAAGACAGAGAAACCTTATACCTTTAAAGACGCACTCTATTCACCTTTTCATGGTGAGAGTCCTCAATCAGTTTCTTGGTGTGCTCCAGTTCCCTTATGAGGGCATTCTGAAGAGAGAGAAACAAAGCCCCGACCACACTGAGCAGTGAACAATTGCAAGTGTTTTTGAAGACAGTGAACGTTACGTTCTCATCAGGGTTATTTCAAGGCCGCAAACATTTGCCAAAACTGTCGCCAGACATTCACCTGTATTTTCTTGTTGCAAGAGAGTTTTGAACAGGTTCAAAATTTCCTTGCGACAAGGAAAAAAAAAAAAGAAAAAAAAGAAAAAAAAAAACACCTGCTGACTGTTCGCGAACATCTGCGATCTTGAACAAACCCTGACAAACTCCGACGAGAACCACAACATTTGCTGCTTTCGCAAATACTCGCAATTGTTCGTTGCTCAGTGAAATAGGGGCTCAAGACAGAGTGACTGATGTGCACCATGACTTGTCACAAACAACGAGTAATAAGGGCGGAGCACTTTAGGGACAGTAGTGATCGGAGCAGCAATTATTCTGACTAGTGAATCCTTAGTTGGCTGCACCACCCAGGATTTGGTCCCACACTTTTTTAGGAAGATACAGCATGACGATATCTGGCATACTGTAGTTTCAAATGCTGAAAATATTAGCAGTGACTCATGATATATTTGCAACATATTACGCTGTGACAAGAACTCTGTTTGCAACAAGCAGTGGCTGACATAGGACTTTGCAATAGTCTTACAGAGAGAGATTTGTTGTTTATTTAAGATTTGACACCCCAACCACTAGACTGAAAGATGCAGAGTGATTTGATTAGGTATTGCAACTGGATGACAAGCATGCAGTCTCTGTTGCCAAAATGTGAAACGGGGTCGTGAGCACCTCAGTGAATGGAAGTGAGATGAATGGGAAGCCGTCCTTTATGAAGCAAATTGTACTAGTTAATTTAGATAGCTGTTAACGTGAAAAAGTAACATACACATTCAGACTTGGATATTTATTTTACACAGAAAGGATTTAACCTGATGCGTGTCACAGATGGGATTTCTCCACCTTGGGTGCGCAGTCTGACAGGCAGACAGAGGCGCTTCTAAGCGCATTAAAAAAAATTACACTCGCGCTGGTGCGACAGGATGACTAAATGAGTATTCACAACACAAATGAATGAGTACTACCTTGTCCTCCAGAGCAGACATCCTCTCTTTAAGGTGAAGCTGGAGCCTCTCGTTGGACTCAGACAGGAGCTTGTCCACTGTCTCAGAGAGACGCTTGTTGTGCTCCTCATTCATCTTCTCTCTTTGCCTTGCCTGACAACAAAATCAAAAATGCAAATTTTGATCAATTCCAGTGGACATTGGTCCTGTTTAATAATTATGGACTTCCCATCTTGCCCATTTCTTACCCTGAGCAATTCCTGGTTCTTCTCCTCCAACTGGGCCTCCAGCTGCTTCAATCTCTCTTCCACATTACCATGGCGTTCCTCTGCCTGAGCAAGACAGACAAAAAAAAAAAAACAAATGCATTTATTTTTCATAGTGCTGGGACTTTGCTTGTCCAGTGGCTTTTCATCTTCAATTCTCTCCAACGTAATGTCTCTACAGCTAGGCTATGTTCTCTCTTGTCGTGGCCAGTCATCCTTGAGATGGTTGAGGGACAAAGCCGAAATCCTTCAAAAGGATGAAGCCACCTAATTCCAGAGACAAAGATGTAGCATGTCGTATATTTGTACACAAACAACAGCTACCAGCAGTCACAATGCACAAGTTTGGAACAAGTCAAAGCTATCTAAAACACCCAAAGCAGATCTATCATTTCATCACGGAATAAGACGACAGACATCTATCTGTATATGTATAAGAGGTATTGGCGCGATCAAGGCATCTGTGGTGACACATTTAAATTTGCTTTTGATTATCATTTTATATGGCAGGCTCTTCCATTTTTTTTTGTCAGTGGGAAGGGTGTCGGGTCTATTTGTAAACCAATTGGCACTTCCTGTTTGTGTTAGCAAAGGTTGTGTGTTTGAGGAAAAGCGTGGCAATACCAGCCACAGAGCACTTAAGTGCATAAACACAGACCTGTCACCACGGTTGGGCCATAGGAGGCTGTGCCTGCCCACCAAGATGCTTGTGCCCCACGTTTGTGGTACGGATTTCTAAAAATAAACTTCAATATTATTATTTTTAATCATAGGAGCTATTTTTGTGTTGTGAAATAATGTTGAGCTGCTTATCACTAAGGCAGGGGTGTCAAACTCATTTTTTGTCGCGGGCCACATTGTAGTTCCGGTTTCCCTTGGAGGGCTGTTATGAATTTTGGAAAACCATATAAATGTTTAATCCCCTCCACATATTACATACAGAACGCACAACAAATTAATGAATAACTAGTTTTAAAAACAGAAGTCAAGCATAATTACTCTTAATGTGGATTACATATGACAATTTGATATTTTGGTTCAGACTTTAGCAAGCATCATGGAACTTGACATGCTTGATTTGCTTTCGCGGGCCACATAAAATGATGTGGTGGGCCAGATCTGGACCGCGGGCCTTGACTTTGACACCTGTGCACTAAGCCATTAAAAATTAAGAATCAGTGGTGTAATTTTTGATTGATGGCAAGTCTTACCTGCAACAGCCAATCAGGGTCATATTAAAAATAATCTTGGGTATGCAGGCAAAGTTCTGCACATTTTTCAAATGAAGCAATTTTATGCCATGTCGGGAGAGATGTCTGCAAAATACTGTATGTATGTAATGTATTTGTAAATAACGAGAGCCGAGGACACTGCAGTAAGCTGGCACTTGGAGCAGCAGATCTAAAAGTCAATAGAAGCGTGAAAAAGCGTGCATCGCTCAACTTAAAACACCAATCACTTCACACCAAAATATATGTGGATAGCTCTACTTATACCCACATCAATCTACAAAAATATCAACGTTTCCCCCAATATTTTGTATTTTATGGACGAAGCGCTTCTCTCATTAAGTGACAGAAGCTTTGTTGTAAGCATCTCTACGGAGAGGAAAATGCCATCGCCGTGATGGCATTTTCCGATCCAATCGTGCTGATATACTTTCAGAGGTTGTTGTGAGCGTAAGGGAAGATGTCAACATATATTTTGGTGATCATTGATCACAGTTTCACATTAGCTGACATATAGTATCTGACATTATACGTTTAGACTGTCTTGGCACGTTACACTACGGCAAGTGAGGAGGGATCTATTCCATTAATGTCAACAACGAAAGAGCCATCTGAACTTGGGCTGGGCAATATATCTCTCGTATTGAAATCAAGACATGAACATTCAGTTTATTAATATCAAAATGAGGACAATATCAGTCAGGTGACCTTGCCACGCTTGTGTTGCATGTAAAACTCAGTTCAACCAACCACATTCTTCCTTCCAAGTTTGCCATTGATGGACAGCTAAAACCAGTTGATGACAATCTTGCGGAGGGCGAGAGTGCGGAGGGACACACGCAGCCACTGCTGCCGAGACAGAAGACACTCAAGGAATCTACTTCCATGTTTGCTGTCAAGTATATACGGATGGTACACATATGTTTTAGAGCACTATGTGACCATATTTCTAACTTCCAAGTTACCAGTAGAAAAAATGGCAGAGCTGCTTGTAAAAAGTGAAAATACAGCCCGCACCTCTTTGATCCATTCAATTCCTGCGAGGCACTATCCTATTTCGTTCGCAACACGTCTTCATTGACTGCCACCATCACTTTATATTTTCATTAAAATTCAAACAATGTTGACTGGGAGTCGACACATCACATCGCCATGAAATGCATTAATGCATAAACAACTATTGTCATGTGCGGGGGTGAGTGGTTAACTTTTTTTTAATTTCAAGCCACACAACACATCTATGCACATTCCGAACCGCTTACACTTACTACGGTTGTGCATGGACAAATTGGTACAGAACAACACACACATTGATGCAGTTAACACAAGTGCGCACGCAAACACAACAAACACTTCTGCTATCGCATAAAATTATTTATCATTATAGCACAGTTGCAGTACAATGTAAATGTAATAATTTTTAATTTATTGCTGACTTTATTAAGGTTGATGGCTGTCAGTAAGTTTCCAAAAAAAAAAGAAAAAACCTACACTTTCTGGATCCTGTTGATGTTTTGTTTTTTTCTTTTTAAAAAATGTTTAGTTTTCACTGAACAAATGGTTAGAGTATATCTTTATTGTATAATTGTTGAGCTATTTGATAGTACATTTTAGCCATATTGCACAGCTCTAATTTCAACCCATTACAAATAAGAAAGCGTGGGGGGCCGCAAACCCTTTGGACAGCTAAACTGAAGATCAATTTTCTTTTCCATTTTTCTTTTTAAATTCTGCTGCAGAGACCTGTTGAAATGGGTTGCCTATTCGAAGCATATATGTGATGTGTCTCTTGTGTTCGCCATAAAATCGGGAAATAATATTTGTGAAATTGAGTTGGAGTGATATATTGCACAATGGTTTGGTATTAATTCAGTGAGTTCTTGCGTTGACACACTCAATAAGGCGTTTATGTAAATGTATTTTAAATAAATGTTTAATATAAAACTTGCCAGCGGTTGTCGCAAAGGGTGCCATAAAACTATTGGCTGGGAGTGCTGCTAGAATATATCCAAATATATGACGCAAAGTAAGTGCTGTGTAGGATATTAAAAATTATTGCCCCCCCCCCCCCCAATGCATTTCAAGTGCCCCCATTAAGGCTGGGCTCTGGCAACGGGTCTGACTACAGACAAGGGTAAATTAGGGCTACAACCCCAGCTAAACAAGAACATTTTAAAATCTGATCTGTTTCCTCATCGAACCAAGGCCTTCTTTGCAAGAGAATATAAAGCCTATTTGATATTCTTTTAAATTTTGTGATATACAGTATGTTGCCATGAAAAAGCATTTGCCTTCTTCTCAAATTCAATGTTTTGTTTGACATAGTTCAGTCACTTCAATGTTTAAGATCAAACAAATGAAGCATAAAGATAAAGATTACCCAAGTAAACATTAAAAAAGTTTGGAACCTAAAAAAAAAAATAAAAGTATGAATCACATAAAATCATGTTTTTAAATGGTAAATGTATTTATTCAACTATTCAAAGCTACCTGGACTGTGTGAAAAAGTACTTGCCCTTTCAACTTGATAACTGGTCGGGCCATCTTCAGCAGGAACAACTGAAATCATTTGTCTATAACTGACAATGGGTCTTTCACAGCCGCATAGAGATATTTTGACCCACCCTTTAATGCAGTATTGTTTTTTTTTGTTGCTACAAGGGAGGAGGGCAAGTAATTTTTTACACAGAGCGACCCAGCTTTTAATATTTGTTCCCCCCTAAATCAGCATTTAAAAACTGCATTTTATGTTTACTTGGATAATCTTTGTCTGATATTTAGATGTATTTGATTTTAATCATTCAAGGGGTGAAGAATGTGAGAAAGGCAAATACTTTTTCACAGCACCGTAATCCAAGAGATTAGTTATCTATTATCGTATTGCTATAGATGTGTCATGGCCTGGTTGAATTCAGTAACAGAACAACATTTAGTTGATTGGATATAGGAAGAGTTGAAAGATTTTGTCCTCCTGAAAAAGTTGGTCTACCTTTTGAGTCTTAGAGCCTTTAAAGCCGCACGGAACACACTACAAGTACAGTATAGGAAGGAAGTGATGAAGGTAAAGGCATGAAGACCACAAAAAAGTTAAATGTGACAGCAAGAGTTAAATGCATGTGGACTTTTAAGCTTTAGCACAACCTGATGAAATAGTTGCAAATTCAACACAGAATTACAATTTCGGTTCATTACTTTCAAAACCTCAATGGCCGAGTTGAATTACCGTATTTTCACGACTATAAGGCGCCATTAAAAGTCTTAAATTTTCTCCAAATTGGACCGGACGCCTTATAATGCGGTGCGTGTTATGTATGCGCCGAGTTCCAAAGCCTGACTAAGAGCACCTTTGGCCGACACGCTGTTTATATAGAGAAAAGGTGGACGTGAGTGACGACAGGCACGTGGAAGTCGGCCAATGAGTGAAGGGTGGGCGTGTAAGAGGACGCTAAAAGCACGACCCTAGCAGGTACCAGTCGCCAATGAGTGAAGGGTGGGCGTGTAAGAGGACGCTAAAGGCACGCCCCTAGCAGGTACCAGTCGCGTGAGTACATTGTAAAATGGATAAATAAAGTACAACCGAACTCAGTTTTGCTTCCGTTGCCTTTTTAAAAACGTGTTTTTAGCGTGTGTCCGTATGTCTTAGCTGCTACCGTATGCTTTAAGCTAACATACCTGGTATGTTTTAGCGTGAATGCATGCTCCCGAATGCTTCAAGCTAACGTGTTTTTAGCGTGCGTGCATGCATGCCGTATGTTTAAGCTGGCGTATGTTTTACCATGCCTGGCTGCGCCCAATAATGCAGTGCGTTTTGTGTATGTGTCAAATACAGAAATAGCACCCGTTACTGAGACTGCGCCCAACAATACGGTGCGCCGAATGGTCGTGAAAATACGGTAGAAATAAATCTTTCGAAATTAGGGATACCTACAGAGAATACATAGAAAAAAAGTGTGACATACCCAACTAACACTATCTTTTTTGCTGGATCTTCTCTGGATATCAACCATGTGACTCCAGCACATTACAGAGATATTGTATTACATAAAAGATAAAACAGATACCACACTTAAAAATCTGATGACCTTAAATGTGAATAACACTGCATAATTGGGAAATATTGGGAGCCAAAACTAATGCTTAAATGGTGCATGCTGCCTGTTTAGTTACGCAAACACTTTCCGGGATACAGCTTGTAACTATAAATGGACATAAAGAGGCCAACGATCTCCAAACAAGTCTCCAGTATTTAGACCACAAAACAATGGTTGCCCCTCTACATACCACAGACAGTTCCCACCTTAACTCATATCTTTCCGGGCCAAAAATGAAATAGAGAGGCTTTGAAAGTTTAGCAGTAGAACTGCACAGCAAAAAATTTAAGTACCTCTATCTATGCAGTAAATAAAAAGTGAAATTCCCAGTGACGGGCAGATAGCAATACCTTTGTGAGGGCTGCTACTCTTTGTGCTAGCTCAGCCTCCACCTCTGGCAGAGTTTCTGCTTTGCGGATAGTCTGCTGCAGCTTCTGCTCAGCTAGTTCCAGTTTCTCTTGAAGCTGCCGGTTTCTGTCCTCAGTCTGTGCAAGAAGGAAATCGTCACAGATATGATGTTCACACACACACACACACACACACACACACACACACACACACACACACACACACACACACACACACACACACAGGCGAACCCCTTTTCAACGTACCCCGTTTACATTTTCACCCCTATAACGTTCACATTTCAAAAGTCCCGATTTGACGTAATGAATTTACCATTTACCGATTTTGCTTACAACAAACACTTTTGTGATGTAAACTTCAGTACAACGACCAGATTTTTCCCCACAAAATAGTGAAAAGGCCTTCGTTGCTTAGCGCCGTTGCTTAGCAACGCTACTGATCAACTCGTACATTGTTGTACTTCCGGAGGCACGGCATGAAAACATGTCCGGTAAATTGAAGCAAATCTCACTCTCTGTGAAGGCTGAAATTGTCTCTCACTTTCAAAAGGGAGTCTCCCAGACGAAGCCGAGCACGAATTGGCAAGTCACGATTTTGTCAATCATCCATAATGGCAACAAAAATCATGGCAGAATTTGAGGCCTACAGACTGAAAGATGATCATGAACGGCCTCGAGGCGCACACCTCCTGAACTGGAGATGGCACTTTCAATTTGCTGACAATGTTTTCAGAGATGAAGTAGGAACGCGACAGTTTGTTTAATTTCTTATAAAATATTTTTTTTTCTTCATACTGGATACATGTATTTGTAATTGACATGTTTATGCTGTATTACATGTTGGTGTTTTTAAATGTTCATACTGTATTATACATCGTAGCTGGCGGCCATTTTATTGGAAATGGTTACAAGGAACTACCGTTATAACGTACAAATTCATTATGTCCCTCGGTGACAAGATGCAGCGAGGTTCATCAGTAAAGTTGTGCTTAGAACTCAGTTAAAATGCTCCAGCAGACACCAATGTAGTTGGCTAACTTACTTGTCTAAAGAGGGACTCCTTGTTAGCTACTTCATTCTCCAGCTTGTCATTCAGGTCGTGGACGGACGTAGCCTCCCGCTGAGCAGCTAGGTAGCGCTTCTCCAGAGTGGTGATCCTCTCTTCCATATCATCCTTCTGAGCCATAGACTAAACAAGCACAAATACACAGATTATTGCACAATTTTTAATCATAAAACCGAAATACGAATGTGATCTGTTTTTCAGTTTACAATAACCTATGAAAAGATTCCAATTGCGCTGCTAACACAGACAAAATTGCACAGGAAAAACATTTAATAATACATTTCATTTGCAAGCGCCTTTCACAACACTCAAGGACACTTTACACCAAGTGCAAATAATAAAACCACAGATAAAATTATAAACAAAGAAGAGAAAGATTTAAGGTGGATATGCAAGTCTGAATAGGTGGGTTTTGAGCTGGGTTTTGAATCTGGAAAGAGAGTCAATATTACGAATATTGGGTGGAAGTGAGTTCCAGAGTTTGGGGGCAGAGCGGCTGAAGGCTCTGCACCCCATTGTACTGAGACGGGCAGAGGGTAGAGAAAGGTGGAGGGAGGATGAGGACCTGAGTGCGCGAGAGGGAATGGAAATTTGAAGAAGATCTGACAGATGGGGGGCGCAAGGTTATGGATGGCTTTGAACGTATAGAGAAGTAATTTGAAATTAATTCTAAATTTGACAGGGAGCCATTGGAGGTGTCGGAGGATGGGGGTGATATGATGGAAGGAGGGGGTTCTCGTGATGATCCGGGCTGCTGAATTCTGAACAAGTTGAAGTTTATTGAGGAATTTGTGATGGACACTGAAGAGAAGTGAATTGCAGTAGTCGATACGGGAGGTGACGAGACTGTGAACAAGGATAGCAGTGGTGTGAGGAGTGAGTGAGGGACGGAGCCGCTTGATGTTACGAAGGTGGAAATACGCGGACCGGGTAATGTTATTGATGTGGGAGTGAAAGGATAGTGAGCTGTCAAGGATGACACCCAGGCTCTTCACCTGGGGGGAAGGAGATACAGTGGAATTATCAGTTTTGAGGGAAAAACTGTCGGCTTTGTGTAGAGTAGATTTGGTACCGACGAGGAGGAGTTCTGTTTTATTGCTGTTTAACTTGAGGAAATTATGGGTGAACCAAGATTTGATTTCTGAGAGACAGTGAGAGAGGGATGAGGGTGGGAGGGAGGCGTCGGGTTTGCTGGAGAGGTAGAGCTGGGTGTCATTCGCGAAGCAGTGAAAGTGTATGCCAAAATTGCGAAAAATATTGCCAAGGGGAAGAAGGTAGATGATGAAAAGGAGGGGACCCAGGACAGAATCCTGGGGCACACCAGAAGAGAGGGAGGGATTGTGAAGTGAAAGAATTAAGTTTCAATTAAAGTAACTAATATTTACCAAATAAATACAATATATTACCTATGCTCGTTTAGATTATAACCACGCCCAAAAAACGTTTTCCTATAAACCCAGTCCGAAAAAGTTATGCCTCCTCTGTACCTCCACCTTGAAGGTTGACCAAAATCCGGAAATTGAGGATGGTATCCCTAACCAAGGCACCAAGGTTTCACTCAGTACTCATGTGGATGTCACCATTGCAAATCTCTTCTTTCTCCTTAATGTACACTTCAACTTGTATCGTTTCCCAAAGTGGGATATGTTAAAAAAAATAATTAAAACATAAAACAGGAAAGGAAATAAGTAAGAAAAAATATGATCAATCCCCTCTGGCTATATTATACTAAAAATTAAGGATTAAAACAATGCCACTAAACAAAATTGCGCTTACTTCTCTGATGTCTCTCTGTAATCGTGTATTCATGTCTTCAGACTTTATGAGGTCTTTTCTCGCTATATCCAGATCTTCCTCTAGCTCACTGATTCGGGAGGCCATTGCAGCCATGCGCTCCTTCATCTGGCCCAGATCAGCGGTCTGACGGTCCACCACCTCCTGAAGTTCTCCAACCTTGTTGAAAGCAGGAACCGACTCATCCTCCTGACTGAGTGATCCATCAGATGACCGCTATGGATGAATAAATAACACATTAGTCTATATTAAAAGTAGAGATGCAACTTTGGATAAGTATTAAATACAGTGGTAAAAATTATTTTATTAACCATTACTCCACTTTAGAGTAATTATATTGATGTGATCTAAATTAGTCCTTGTACCAGAATTAAATAAAGAACATCATTATTATCAACAAACAACTTTGCCTGAATGTGACCAGTGCATCGCCATACAGTGCTGAGGCATTTCGGCGAATAAGTCGCTCACAATGGCAAAGAGCAGCTAACAGGACAATCAACAATGCAGTACAATGGCTGACAGGCGACTTGGCAATCTTTGAATGACATCACTTGTGGGAGATTGCCGAACAAAAGCATTTTGGTTGGTAAAAGCTCACCCGGAGTGCTTATTGGGTTTTTTGATAACGTATCGGTCGGATGTGAGCGTTCACGGTGCAGACACATCACTTACATATCCGATTTATATCCACATACGAAAGAGGCCTAGGTGGGATTTGACAAAAATCTGAATTGTAATGTTCACCCTGAAAAAAAGATAAGTGTCAAAAATGAGTAAAACAAAAAATTATAAATGGAATTGAGCTTCAATGTGAACATGGTCTTAGTTTTTCCAAACAATCTTGTGAACATGCACATACTGTTTTGATTCATGCTTTTAATTCCTACTGCAAGATTAATTATAACTACTGCATCTAACTACCTTTAATTTAATCGATAAAATCTGCATGTTAAATTATAACAGCACATGAGAAATTGATTTCACAAAATACAGGTTATGTACAATAGTTTTCTCATGCTGTAATAATTAAACGCACAAGGATTTAATTAAATTAACCGCACAGATGGCTGACACTTGTCACACAATGGCTTTCTCACACGCTTGTCTTTCAACCATGTGCTAATAAGTAACCTCACCTTTCCATTCGTGCTTGGTGTATTTTCAGAGTTGTGGTTGACCTCACTGGTCCCATCTGCCAATCCCCTCTTCTGGCAGCTCTGCTCCCTGAGGTAAGCCAACTGCAGAGATAGTTTGTTAACACACAGTGAAGCCATTGATTCATCTGAGACCAAATTTCGATTTATCATACGTTACTTTTTTCCAGCAATGGGGGTCTGGGGTTTGTGTGCGCGCGCACGCACACGCACGCGCACACACACACAAACACACACACACACACACACACACACACACACGGACAGATATATAGACATATATAAGGGACAGAGGCGGCCGGCTCTTCCTACTCAGAAAACTGAGGTATTTTGGGGTTCATGGGTCACTCCTAAAGACCTTCTATGACTCTGCGGTGGCTTCAGCCATTCATTATGGCATAGTCTGCTGGTCAGGCAGCATCTCAGCCCGGGACAGAAAGAGACTGGACCGACTGGTCAGGATGGCCAGCTCTGTCCTGGGCTGCTCCCTGGACACTCTGGCTAGCTAACAGCTATGATGGACAGACCCTCTCACTCCGTCCAGGCCACCTGACAGCACTGGGCAGCTCCTTCAGCCAGACACCGATACACCCGCGCTGCAAGAAGGAGAGGCACCGCCACTCGTTCCTGCCGACTGCTGTCAGGCTACTGAATAGACACACCTGAAAACCTGGACTCTCCCCCACTCACCCATTGTAAATAGCACAGCAACCTTATGCAGCATATATGCAGTTGCATATATGCTTATCTCTTATATTTTCTATTGTATTCTGTACAGTTCATTTTTAAAATTTATTTTGTGCATGTAAATTTTTGCGAATTTCTCTATTGTGAGACAAATAAAGGTTTTCTTATCGTATTACCTTATCTTTTACACACACGCACGCAAGCGCGCGCACACACACACACACACACACACACACACACACACACACACACACACACACACACGTACCTAGGACTTTGAGGGCATGCATGAGTGTGTGTGTCTCAGGAACAAAAGATGACTACAGCATTAAGTGCTTCATCATGAAGCATAGATAAAAATCTAGGACAGTTCAACATGCTCTAGGGTTTTTGTCAATCTTAATCCCATTCAACAGGGAGAATTCAAGACTTGTCTGTCCTTCAAAAGGATGCGCACATATAGTAGTGGCACCGGCTTCAGGATGAATAAACAACAACCAGTATGGAATTAAAAGAGAAAAGTGACTGAGCAGTTCTTGATGTTAAATAATGTTAAGTCAAGTAAAAGCAATGTTTCATTTTCAAAATGATATATGTCAACTAAAGGTGTCGAAATGTATTAAAATTTTAAATTGTAAAAATAATCATTGAGAGCCATCTATTCAGACTTGTCCAAATTCTCAGATGTCATTGATTTCTGCAGTCATTCATGAAAGCAGACTGATTATCTTTGTGTTTAATCAACGTAGGATAGATGGAAACAATTTTAATTTTTGAAAACAATGACTGAACCAGTAAATGAATGTTTCAAAAAGGTTGGCAAGTACAACGTCAATCAATCCCTTGTGCGATATTTTTAATGTGTTTTTTTTCACTAAACAATATTAGATAAACAACAATAATTGGTTAATAAACAGTAATCTGGGTAAACTAAGCATTTGTAACAAATTTGAATGAAAAATACAATTTTATCTGATTATTCAATGGAATAATTCATATAATTGATTCAAAAAATATTTACAGTAAGAGCCTGAGTGTCAACTGCTCTGGCTGGGGTTATAAACCCTTTGTGACAGGGCGATCATGAGCCAAGTTGTGGTAGCTCTGTCAGAACAAGTACAGTACTGGCCTCATATACTCATAATATAATGCGATTTCAATGATTATTTCATATTTTGCATCTTTAATACAGTACAACTGCATTCATGGTTATGACTGTACGAACATCATTAAAATCAAAGCTTTGCAGTAGCACAATTTTTACAAGTGGAAAACATTATTGGTACCATATGTTAATGAAAGAAACATTTTTAAAAAGGAAAAAAAAAGAAAGTAATCATAAAGGGAAAATTAACCAAAGAAAACAATTCAATATTTTTTGAAAAAAATAATGAAACGGGCCTTTGTGAAAATATTGGTCATCTTAATTTTTTAGGCAATTACTGCAACCAATCAATTTGTCTAACTTTCAGACATCTGCACCTCTCAGCAGGTGTTGTGACCCACTTGTTATGCGCAAACTGGTCGAGTTTCAGGTTTCGATTTGTGCTCTGTCCAGATGGCATGGCATCTGTGCAAGGAGCAGACTCCTTGCACAGATGTTCAATAGGATTTAGATCAAGGCTCAAAGAGACTTTAGAATACTGTCGTCCAATAGTTTGCTCTGAGTCATTCTTCAGTCTTTTAGCTGTGTTTTGAGTCATAATCCTGTTGCAAGACCCACGGCCTGAAACGGAGACCAAGCTTTCAGACACTGGGAAGCACATTTCTCTCTTTGATTTCTTGTTCCCCTGTTTACATAGATGTTCCTGGCTTTTGTCTTTCCCTGTGTGTCTGTTTGTACGTTATTCCTAGGCTGACATGGTATTGTATAAACAAAGATACAAGTGTTTCTGAGTTATTCATCTTGTGCTGCTGGGACGGCGTCACCAGGTTTCCATAGCTGGCACTTTTAAGCAGCAGCATTGATTTTTGAGAAAAGTCACCATAGTCTATTTAAAAAACAAACAAAAATACATTTATATAGTAGAGAAGGCATTACATCTGCTTGAAAATATTGTTGAGGCTGAACCTGAAGATGACAGAGGCCTGGAAAGGGCAGCCTCCCCTTAGTGAAGATGAGACGTGGCGACACAGTTCAAGGCATTATTATAATAAAATTTTGGTTGTTTGATGTGATGGTCATGACATTCTTGGATGTATAGGCCAGGGAGTTCGCTGAGGGACAATAGACTGTGTCTGAAACTCCACATAACCCACACCTGTCTGCCTTACAGGGGGAAGGATAGTACTGTGTGGACTCTGGGAGAGGAGCTATATTACATAATTTAATTTAAACGATACAACAGAATTTGAATGAACAAAATAATTTCCTTGCTATTCAAACAGCGAGTAATAATCATTTTGGGTGATGATGTCATTGCAAGAGCGCTTTTATGTATTCAGTACCTAAACCAGGGGTCGGCAACCCAAAATGTTGAAAGAGCCATATTGGCCCTCCAACAAAAACCCCAAAACACAAGTATGTTTGGAGCCGCAAAAAAATTAAATCCTGATATAAGCCTCATAATGAAGACAACACATGGTGTATGGATCAATATTAGCCATATTAGCCTACTATCAGTTGGCTACAAACACAAAATGAGCCTTCATGATTAATTTTTTTTTTTCCTGTGGTACCCAACTTTTTTTAACCGAAGATCTACTTTTCGATCAACCAACCTCCCAATATCGACCCGTTACCGCACATGGGCGCATACGCACGCACTTACACATGCATGCCACAATGAGCAAGGAAAATGTTAAGAATGTTTGTGTCATCTTTGTCCGCCTACAGAAAACATCTTGAAACAAAAAATATATTTCCCTCCGCCATCTTTTTCCATTTTCAACAATTTTTGAAAAAGCTACAGGGAGCCACTAGGACGGCGCTAAAGAGCCACATGCGGCTCCGGAACCGCGGGTTGCCGACCCCCGACCTAAACCTTTTAGTGATTTATGGACCACTGTCTCACTGTGCGTGTGTGTGTGTGTGTGTGTGTGTGTGTGTGTGTGTGTGTGTGTACTGATGAATATTTACAGACAACAGAAATCCCTTCACCTCTTTGTGTGACATGGTGAGCTGTTCCTCCAAAGCACCGCATCTTTCCAAGGCGACTCGCAGTCTCTCCCTTACCTAGAAAATATGAACAATTTCAGACAATCATACCTTTTAACAGTCATGAAACTGCATGCATACACCATAACCTTTTGGTAATCGCTGCATTATATGGATCTGAGTCCTACCTTCTCGTCAAGGGCTTTATGGTGTTCAAAAAGTGACTTAAGGGCTTTGAGGACTTCCACTTCACTTGAGACTCCAGCAGGAGACTGAGCTTGCCGTTTCACTACTGTCATTCTCAGACTACGTTCGTGACGAGAAACCAGGCACTCCAAATGCTCCAAGAGGAGCTGCACAAAACACCAATAATGGAAAAAAATAAGAACAATTGCATTGCGTTACACAGACAAACATTACATTGATAATTACCACCAATATTTTTATAAGTATAATTCAGGACAATTATTTCCATTGTTTAAACAAACATAACTAGGTGATTCAAAACTGGAAATGCTGACTGTATAGTTCAAGTCTCAAATGTTACCCCTGTTATTAAACATGACAACATTTCAACTAACCCGTGTGTTGTTTCTCTCAGCTTTCAGTTCTGCAATCTCTTCCTCCTTTTCTAGAAGTTGTTCCCGGCACATGTTCACCTCCTTTGTTAGTGCTGCAAACTCCTACAACAAAGCAAATGCAAAAACAAAGTCTTTATACCAAGCTCACAAAAAAAAAAAAAAAAAAAAAAGACTGGTGGGTATTGATGCAATTTTAATCGCCGCTACTACAATGGTACTGCTTATTGATCCGGTGCGTTAAAGGCATCCTTTTCTATACTTTTTTGGTTTAGAAAAACACTAAAATAAAAATATTTTAACTCACACTACTCCTTGTCTTGCAACTGTAATGACATTGTTAAATAAATTAATTAATTATAATTTACAGAAAAATATTTATTTTAACAAGTCATTATTATACTGCTAAACATTATATCAACACAATAAGTGTAAAAAAAATTATAATTGTCAAAGTCTGGCGCACACTAGTGGGCTGCAAAAAGCACTTCTGTGAGAGATGCACCTTTTTTTTTATATATATTTGTTAAGATTGCTTGTGTTTCCCCGTGATATTTTAATGATTGATGGCACTTGGTCCAAGGTGCACTAAGTAGTGATGTTGCGACGTCATCCCTGCGTCCCTCTCCAGTCTGCAGGCATAACCACTCAAAACTTTTACATTCGTCTAACGGTTGCACTGAGTGGAAATCGGTTAGTCATGCCGAGAATGAAATGCTCAGCTGCTGCATTCGTAGCAAAAGAACTAACCCAACGTAAAGGACACCAGCTGGTCCTGCATACATTATCAAAACTTCACTCCCCTGAGCTGAAAGCCACAGACTTCGTGTCCCAAGCTCACAAACTGGTGATGTGGTGAGAGCGTGGCTTCGAAGCGCAAGTCGCAGGGAGGGCACAGTCGCCGCCACCATTCCACAAATATGACTTCCAAACATCAAAATTACATGACAAAAACGATTGGGTTAGACCAGGGGTCCCCAACCGCCGGTCCGCGGGGCATTTAGTACCGGACCGTACAATAAGAACTTACATTAATTCTGTGGTATTTATTTTGGAATACGAAAGATATTTTATTTTAAAAAATTACCCGATTCTCCGTTACATCCGTCTGTGTCACTCTTAACGCACATCAAACCACGCTTCTCCGTCACGTGACTGATTACACTAAAAACAAAACGCCGGAGCTTGCTAAATGAGTAAAATAAACTGCTGGAGATCGCAAATGACGGCGGCCTTAAAAGTACGTTCGAGACAACAACTCTGCCGGTGTTCCAGATTCAAGTTATGGCTGAATACTCTGAGATCGTCACAATAGCACTATTGCTATTTCCGACATGCTACCTGCGTGAGGCGGGGGTTTTGTGCAGCAACGGCGACTAAAACAAAATTACGAAGTAGATTCGACATAAAGCACACACTTCAGGCGTCATTGTCTCCTATTACCCCGAGATGGGACCGCCCAGTTGCAGAAAATCAAGCTTGGGGCTCGCACTGATTCAGCAATGTGGTGAGTTGACATTTTCATGCACTTTGAATCTGCGTTGTATCGTATTTTGAAGGCATTAAACATTACCATAGCGATCAGTGTTGCGGCCAGATTAGACGCTCCTGGTGTTTATTATTATCTCTCGAAAACACCACAGTGTTCATGCAGCCCTTACCATATTATTTTGTAGTATTCATCCGCCACACCTTAAATGCCGGTCCGTGAAAATATTGTCTGACATAAACCGGTCCGTGGGGCAAAAAAGGTTGGGGACCCCTGGGTTAGACGGCACGATGGATGTTTTTAAATAACACTGCATATTATGTCACAGGTGCCTCTCATGAACGGAGAAGCTCTGGGGCGAGATGGCTCTCCTCCAATTGTGAACACACATCTTAGACAAAATATTCATTTCACTGCTTGTTACAAACATCTGAGAGGCGGAAGGTGCGAAGTAACGTTCGCATCGCCTAAATCAATTGAAAATTGAATAATTTCTCCAAGACCGTTAACAGAACCGTTAAGGGTGGACCTTCTTGAAAGAAGTTCTGTAAAATTCAGTCCCGGGATCAGTTTAGGCCAGGCTCGGTATCCATCCCTAGTTTTGAGCCTATCACATTACAGTCCAAGGTTTCCCCGTTTACTTCACAGATACTCACACAAACCAAATTCGTTGTTTTGTACAATCCAAAAATCACCAAATGGAACCTAGTGTTGTGCAAATGCAACTTTTAGTTTTGTTGTTCTTACACTGCCATAATGATAGTACAGTATAACCATCATGCCATTAAGTAGAGCGCACAAATCTACCAAGGCTGAATTGTTGTTTACAGTCAAAATAATTGATAAGGTGTCATATTTGTATTTGTCTGTCCAGCAGTTTGCTTTTTTGCAGGCTATTTTCGGTTTCATAAAAGGATGCCCGGCAGACAGGAGGTATCATTATGATTTTGGAGGTGGACGGTTCCAATTACACTATCTTCAGGCAAATGGTATAATACACATTCCTGGACGCCACCTTTCTCAAGATCCTCACCAAATTTTTAATTGGTTCTAGCTCGTTCAAAGCGCTCCACATTTGTGTGGAGCGCTTTGAACTGTAGTTGTCCCATTAGTTTAATTTACAAAGTCAAAATAACTACTGTGGGTTTAAAAAAAGAACTATCACAGCGATTTGGTGGGACAGGGTGAAGATCATAAATGACTGTGTTTATTGATCTATGTTTTAACATACAAAGGCAGACAGAAATAGAGCATTCAGTCCACAAACAGGGTCTTGGGGTGTGTGGGGGTTGTCATTTATCCCCCAAAGTATTCTTTTTATCCTTCAGCCCAGTCACTGAGCTCCTCCAAGGTCTGGCCCAGATTCTGCCTATTGGCTATCAAGGTCTGCCCTCTGCCAGCCAATGATACACCACAGGAGGCATGCCTTTGAGTAATTACAGAGTAGCTCACTTCCTACATTCCAGAGCATTAGCAAAGGTTGTGCAGTACAGTGCCCTTTAAGATTCGCGATGCACTCGCATTGTCGGCCTTCAACCCAGCTTTTCTTCACTGATTTTGTCGGTCACGATAATTGGGCCTCTTTTGCCCTGACAAAACAAAAATAATCCCTGAAAGTCTAAACCTAGAAATTCACAAAGATGACTTGCAGCAAAGTGACAAGGAAAATACAGCATTTTCAAAAGTTGTAACTGACAAGAAGTCAAAGACGAGCTGAGCCTACAGTTTATCCCCCATATAAATAACAATAGCTCATTTGATATTCTTTTTACACAACACAACACAGCAGCAAGAATAATGCCTCCTAACCCGGAAACTGAAAGTCGTACAATGCCCCTCAAGGCATTGGTGAATGTCTGAACTATTGTGGGCACCACATTTAAGAGTATTTGTCATAATATTTGAAATTAAAATGTAATTTTAGTTTCTGTTCTTTCAAATTATCTTCCAAATGTTTTTAATTGGGGTAGATTAAGAAACCAAGGTCCATTTATTACAAAGCAAAAACACCTAAACATCTACTAGTACAACTGCTAATGATGATGTGAAGAAAAATAACACTAATATTTTTGTGTGGTTGATATAAGCTTTCATGGCTTATCTAGTCTGGGCGCCCGTAATTTGGTGTGAGTATTTGTAAATGAGGGGGATGTTGATTTGAACTTGACAGAGCTGCCCTTTAAGCCTTTGAACAGAAGAACGGATTAAGGGGAAGTACATGAATGTGTGCCAACCTATTAAAGCTACAGTGTTCGAAAACCCTTTTCAGGTACAAGTGCACAACACAAGGCATGGAGCCTCAGAGAACATGATCAAACGGCATAAGTGAACTACTTTTTTATATTATTGTAGGGGTTGAAGCAAAAAACAAATAATAATGATAATACTAATGTAGTAATAATAATAATAATTATTATTATTATTATTAATAAAAATTGGACTGAAAACTTGTTCTGCTTAAAATGACTGCAGTCAATTAACGGTCAATATTTTGCTGTGCAGTGGGGTGTACATTGATTCATTTTAAACAATGTCGTAAATGACAAGTAAATATTTTGTCCAAACGGGGGATTGAGTTTCGAACACAAAATATGAAATCATTCAACCGTGTACTGGATGCATTAAAGCAGTGATTCTTAACCTTGTTACCGTGGAACCGAACCCAACCAGTTCATATGCACATTGACCGAACCCTTCTTTCGTGAAAAATAAAAATAGGATTTTTTTCAATTTCAAGACATTAAAAAGTGCATTTATTAAAAACAGAAAAAGAGTAAATAGAATTAAAAGACATAAGTCAATTTTTTTTAATTGTATGGTAGAGGCTCTGTCGAACTCCTGAGACCGATTCACCGAACCCTGAAGGCTTGATCGAACCCACGTTAAGAACCACTGCATTAAAGTAAACAATGAGTGTCAATAAGGGTGTCCGCCCTGCGACTTTTTATGCATTCTGATACATTTTAATGAGTACAAGGCCCTCTATAACAGAAAATAATATTAAAACTAGAATCTGCATTTAGTGGCATAGAACACTCACACTACATTATATTGTTGAGAAAAAAAATGTATGCCCTGCAGTTTTGAGGCAAATTTGGCTTTGTAGCTTGCAGATATGTCATGGGTGCAAAGATATGACACATGTATATGGATAGTCTTGCCAGTACATCCTTATCAAGAGCGAATCCTTGGGTGCCACTAATGCTTGAGATGTGGTTCAGGAGAAGTCATGCTCTGCTATGAAAGCGCACAATTGCACTTTCAGGTCGCAGACACAGGCAGCCATTGATGCCGGTGCGTTTGTTGTTGTTGCCAGGACCCCGGGTGGTTATGAGTTGTGCTCAAGAGAACCAACTGCAGCCTCGTGTGTGGCTTCTGACTGGCTTCTGACCAATTTGGTTGAATGGCCCATATAAGCATTAGCAGCGAGTGAGGGATTCTCTGTTTAATACATTTGATTTATCTAATAACAAGCAATACATTTACATCATTAATACGCTTGTGCGGACTAAAATGACAAGTACATGCAGCTACGTAGTTGTTGGGCGTGTGCGTGACTTCTCTCATCTGGAAACGACACTATTGATTTATGACCTCATTAAGTGCAACCAGTGGT